AAAGTTATAATAATTTAATTTGTTGAATATAAGATAATAAAATATTTAAAATTTTAACAAAATAATTAAACGTTAAATTCACAATAGTTTTTTTTTTTTAATAAAATTGGTATAATTTACCAAAAAAAAAAACAATTGTGAATGGTAAAAATGAAATATTATGAATATTTTTTTTATGAGTATTATTTTAATTTAGTTCATTTATAAGTTTATAACTTTATAAATGAACTAGAGCTGATATGATTTTATTTTAACTATAATAGTTGAAATTAGGATCGGCACGTTGGCAATTGACCAGCCATAATCGGGTAAAAAAAAAACTATTTAAATATTATTATACAACACGGTATTTTTGTACATTTGGTTATTATTTTATGAAAGTTTTGTTTTTACTTTTTCCGATACTGAGCATTAACGTGTTAAAAAGTTGAACGTTAAATTAGTTTAATGGTTTAACTTAGATAATTTAATAAATAACTTGAGTTTTATTTTTTAATAAGTTAACTTAGTTTTCAGTAATTCTTGTGAATAGACTATCATAATATTAAAATAAAAGAAAACTTTAAAAAAAATTTAAAATAATGAAACTAAAATATTTATTGCATTCTTTGTGAAAGTATTGGTCTGTCTATGTCTTGAATAGCAATAATAGATTTATGTTATATAACATTCAAGTTTTATTGTAATACTATTAAACATTAATAAAATACATTTCTTTGTTGTAATTTTATGATCGAAAATTGGTATTTAACCTTCCTTTAAAAAAAATTACTTTTTATATGGACATCAGAAAGTTCTATTAGCTAACTTACCTTTGATTATAAATGTATTATTGCCATTTGAAGTAATTAGTAACTGAACTGAGTTTACTATTAAAACTTAGTATCGTAAAAAAATATATTTAAATAATTGTATAATTTTATAATTAACAATTTTATTTTTAGTTTCGATGCGAAGCTGAGAAGGTATTGGTTTTACTATAATGTATTGGGTTGGGTTGGGTTTTTTTTTGTGTCGGTTACAACTTTTTCTCAGATCTCACCGAACCGATTTCTTTCAACGATAAGTCAAAAGATCACAAATCGTATCTAGTCGAAGACATTACCCTCAAAAATAGAAAAATTTTTCCTCATTCCCCGTAAATGGGGGAAACCTCCAAAAAAATTAAAAATTTAAAAATCGCTAACATTCAAAATTTTTTCAATTTTAGCTTCGATGCGAAGCTGAGAAGGTATTGGTTTTACTATGATGTGTTTTTTTTTTTTTTTTTTTTTTTTTTTTTTTTTTTTTGTGTCTGTTACCACTTTTTCTCAGCTCTCACCGAACGGATTTCTTTCAACGATACGTCAAAAGATCACAAATCGTATCTAGTCGAAGACATTACCCTTCAAAATTGAAAAAATTTCCCTCGTTCCCCGTAAATGGGGGAAACCTCCAAAAAAATTACAAATTTAAAAATCGCTAATTTTCGAAATTTTTTCAATTTTTTTTACTAAAAACTGCCGTAACTTTTTCAAAAATGAACATATGAATATAATTTTTTTTTTTATAGATGCTTGATGTCTTTACCTATTATTTAGTATATTTTTTTTGTAAATTTGACCTTCTTTCTGCCCACGGGGGGAGATTTAAAATGACAACTTTATCACAAAAAATTTTCCGGAAGGTCTGACACTTTTATATATATCTTAAATTAAAGCTAATATAATGTACTTTAATTTGAAAAAAAAAAATTGACCTCTGGACTTGTCTTCATGGTGAAAACGGCTACCGAATGCTATTTTTGTGTGAAAATTTTTGATTTTATAATTGACATTTTTTACTTTAAAGTGCTATAACTTTTTAAAAAATGTATGGATCAATACAATTTTTTCATGAGAAGTAGTATTTATATACATCTTTCATTGGATATACTTTTTTTTTAAATCAGACTATTTCCCTATATATGGGGGGGCTTCAAATATAAAAAATGCATATAGAAAGTAGAACTTTTTCAACTTAACTTTTGAAA